AGCATGAACTGAAACTATGTACATCTTAAATGTTTGAATGACTTCAAATTATGTTGTATGGAGATTGTATTTTCACAAGCTTTTAACTATCTGCTGGGAATTTGTGTTTAAAATACCGTGTGTGTGTATGTGTGTGTGTGTGTGTCACACTCAAGAGCACACACACACACGCATGTGTTGGGAGACACACGGGAGCCAGCCTTGGAACTACAATACCAACCAGACTAGGATATGCACCACTCCAGCTGAACAGAAAAAGTCATGGAACGAAGACAGCATGTCAGGGTGTTTTGTTTTACACTCCTGGCAGAAAGGGATGCCGTAAAATGCTCAGAACACGTTTCTTTTTTTTTTAAAGCTTTACTATTGTTATTGTTGATATGCATGTGTCTGAGCACACACATGGGGGACGCATACGTGTATGAATGGGTGTGTGTACACGTATGCAAATCAAAGGGCAACTTTAAAGTTCAACTCTCTTCTTCCACTGTGACCAGCTTGCTTGCCCAGCCTTGGAGACACTGCAGATACATCTCTTGGGCGTTAACTCACCCTTGAGCAGCAAGGCTACCTGGCAAGCGGTCCTCGGGTGCACACTGGAGGCAGCAGGCACAGCTCTCTGCAGCTGCCGTGTACCAGTGCCTGTGCCATTCCTCCTAGGCAGGGCCTCCTCTCCTCCAGAACCACTGTGCACCTCCCAACCGGAGCTTTCCCTGCCAAGAGACCACCCCAGGACTTTACAGTCTCTAGGTTAGCAGTGCCCAGGTCTCTGACTGACCCTGGTGGGAACAGGATGAGGACCCACACAGGGCCTCTCAGATTGATAACTGTGTGATGGGCCACCCTGAATTCTGTACTAATTTTCACCAAGGTCAGAAAGTTAAACTGAGCAATTTTCTCATTTTTATGTGTACGAATGTTTTGCCCGCATGTGTGTCTGTATACTATGTGTGTTGGATACCCAAGGAGACCACCAGAGGGCCCTGGATCCCTGAACTAGAGTTAAAGCACAAGACACAAATTAATGCTGCCAAAGAGTTTTCCTGTAAACGTCTGGTGTGGCTTACTGGTAGAGGTACACCCCGACCACTCGTGGAGTTTCCACAAAAGAAGTGGTGGCCATCCCCCCTGCACTAAGGCTGTAAAACACGAACACGGGCAGAATTCTACCATGGCTGCAGCAGTTTGAAGCGACTGAGCATTCCTAACTTTGTTGCGTACCTTGGAAAACAGTGTGGTATGTGCACTGGGTAAGTTCAGCTTTGCTATCAATCACTGAAAATATCCATCAAAAATTCCTCCCTCGTGTGGTGTGGTGTGGTGTGGTGTGGTGCGGTGCGGTGTGGTGTATGTGTGTGTATGTGCGTGTATGAAGAATGCTTCATCAACCTTTAAAAACTAAAAACCATTCTCCATACTGCTGCTGAATTAAGTAGTGCACATGCAATGAAAGACACTAGTAATGGCATAACCCAAGATAAGAACTGGATGTTTAAAACTTTATTGTTTGGGGGAGGGTTTGCCAGGTATGTGTGTAGAAGTTAGAAGACAACTCTGCGTCCGTTTTCTCCGTGGGTCCAGGTCAGCAGGCTTGCCTGGGGAGCACCTTTTTCCCACTGAGCCACCTTACTGGCCCACGACTTTGACTTTTGCTGTGGTAGTTGAATAAGTTAATTTTTTTCACTTTTATTTCTGTTACTATAATTTGGGCCATGAATAAGAATCAGCAAATTGGTGGCACTTACATGGGTGTGATGCTGGCATAAAAATCTAGCAGTGAAACCAAACACAGTCTGGGAACCGACCTGGGATGAGAACATGATACAATGAAGCAGAGGGACAGGCTACTGAAAGGTTGGTCTAGGAGTACCAGCCAGCCTCACCTACTAGCATACACGCAGCACAAATTCAGCTCAACTGCAAATTCAGAAACTTTGCAAACAAAAAGTCACATTAAACATTCTTGATTTCTGGTTAGAAAATATTTTACAACACTGGCAGAAAATATAATGAAAAGCAACAGACTAAAGCCAGAAAAATAAATCCTTGTGAAAATTTTAATGTAATTAGAGACAAACAAACAAACAAACAAACAACATGGCAAATGGCTCTGGTCATTATTCTATAAGTAATACACAGAAACCTGGTGAAAGGAACACAGGGCAGCTGGTTTTCAAATAAAGAATTGTTTAGCTAGCAACAACAACCTCACCTGACCAGGAAAAACAATCATGCCTTTGCTGAGGCTTACGGCGTAGGAAGTGCTATTCCTAGTGGAGCCACACAAAGCGAAGAGACCATGTCTTCTGCCTCCTCTTACAAAGGCACTGATCTCATTCAACAGGACCTACCCTGGTGAACCCATTACTTTCCAAAACCCCCTTCCAATACTTATACCTGGGATCAGACTTCAGTGTGTGGTGGGGGACAGGCAGCCCAGGCAGAAGACAGACGGGACACAACATTCTGCCCGTAGCATTAGCTGCCATCAAGATGGAGACCAAGCCAAGCAGGGAAAGCACTACTGGATCGCCTGTGATAAGACATCGTGGGCACTCCCATCATTCAGCAATGGTCGGAGTCTGTGGACTAGTGTCCACTTCTTGAAACCTAAGGAATCGGTCACAAATGTTGACATAGATTTCTACCCGATTCTGTTCAAGAACACTGTTTATAATGTGAAACACTGGTAGGGATTTAAAGTCCAACATTAGGCAAGGTTATAAAAAGATTGAAAATCCAGAAGAAAAACACACTACACACTGTTACATCCATGAAGTAACTATGACATTAAAAACACTGTGGGGTTTAAAAAGGAGATCATGAAGTGGTGCGTATAGTATTTTAAAAAAGTATAAAAAGTCAGAATACAGTATGACTATGAACAGTGAGTGCTTGGGAGTGGTAGTTAAGACATTTTTCTGTAGACTTTAAATCTACAACGGCTGTGTATTAGTTAAGCCCTCCAGTCACTGTAATACACAATCTTAAGGAAAAAATACAAGGCTCCACAGCACGTACCCAGACACACAAAGACAAACGGCATACCCACACTGAGGCAGTGCTGTGCAATTTGGGTCTGTGTGGGCACAGCTAACTCAGCAATTGAAGGAGTGTATGTTTACAGTTCTGTCTTAAGAAATCACCACGGAAGAAGATGGGAACCTACTTCTCTTAACTGGTTGCCATTGCTGAAACCTGTGCTTGACAGAAGAGTCGGCCAAAGGAGACGATCCTCAGGGACCAGAAAACATCAGGTCACTAAGGACACGACAAAGTATGCCAAACACAGCGCAAAACCAAGGGCAAACCCACTCCCTCAGAACTGGTATGAAGATAAACTAACGGAACTGAAATGGGCAGATAAGAGCAACAGCTGTGGGTGCTAAAGCAGCTCTGTCCAGGAAGAACCAGACTCACTGACTCACTAGGATGCAAACAGGAGGCAGAACAGGGGATCCAGTTGATGATCTATTGGGCTACTTCTGGCTAGTAGTTTTTCACTAATTTTTGTAGCCCTGCCAATATAGTAACATTTGAGAAAATGTCAGCACTTGTTTAAAACAATATGTGAGGAAATATTTGTTTTCTTAATATTTAACCAACAGGTTGTGCTGTTTTGTGTTTTAAAAAAGAGAAAAGGCTACAGCATACAGACAAAAAAACACATCACACACATTTTATCCTATTTTAAGCATCAATGTGTTTAAAACAGAACTTGGGAGTCGATTTAGGTGTTACAAATAGACGTGGGACCGACTGACACACTGCTCTGTACTACAATCCCACGTTCTAAAGCAGGAATCTCTGCCCTACATGAACCCCTCTTCTCAAGAGCCACAGCGTAACTTCGGAGCACTGAGACACTAGCCTCCGGGGATGGCAGCTTAGCTCTGCACTTTTGACTGCCCCTTACTCCAAAGATGGCCATGTCATGTGACAAGTGAAGACTCCAGAGAGCTAGAGTCACAGCTCTGTGCCGCTGTCCATCCATACAACTGTTAACTTAGCACTGTCTTCAAAACAGCTCACTCTTTTAAGCACTGAGATACTGACTAATGTCCGAGGCTAGGCCAGTTATATTCTGAGCACACATGATGGCTGCCCACACTACCGAACACACTACATATGCTACCAGTAAGCAACTTGGTCACCATTACAACATATGTCCAATCCTGACTGCTCTAATTTTTAAGGACCATCTCTTGAAATTGCTCATAAATATGCTAAATTTTCTGAGCTTTATTCCCAAAACAATTTGGAAAAAACTCCGTATCTTAAATTTTCCAATCACAAAAAACTTGCATCTAATAGGGGAGGTCCTCCTCCCTTCCATCTGACCCTATTCTATCAGGTCTCATCAGGACTGTGGACTGGGGGAGGGGCACAGGAGAAGAAGAGGGAGGAAGGATAGGATTGGGAGGGGCGAGGGAGGGGTTGAGGGAGGGAGCAACAGCTGGGATACAAAGTGAATAAACTTTAATTAATTAAAAATAAATAAATTAAAAAAAAACTGAGGAGAAAAGAAAACTTGCACCTAGTGGGTGCACAGTATAATCCCTGCAACTACTGTGGGTGCACACCAGAAACCCTCGCCCTTGGAAGGTGGAGGCAAGCAGGTCAGGAGTTTGGCAAAACCTGGGCTACATTAAGTCAGACTCAGAAAACCAAATCCAAAAAGACCTCTAGAAAACTTGGGTTTGCTTTGCAAATCATTTCTACAAAACTGAAACTTGCAAAAAATCTAAGTGGGGGAGGCTCTGTAAATTCCACTCACAGGATTTCCTTCCCACTGGGTGACTGATTATTTTCTCCTGTCACTTATCTTCCATTCTTATTCTTACATAATATGACTTTACAATGTGTGTGTTTCACTCAGACACATTGTACTTACTAGACTTTTTCTTTGTGCCTACAACAGATATTCAATAAATGCTTATGGAAAAGAAGAGAATTCATGTAGACCAAACTTTATTGTCACAACAAATTGTATACTGACATCAAGCAAAAGAGACCTTTATTTCAAATTCTCCATTCCTTAAAAGCAAGGAGCCTCCTGAGTGCTCCATCCACTCTGGGCAGCACACAGTGGCTACGGCCAACATACAACCCCATGCCACACACACTCCCAAGCCCCAGAACCACATGGTTGTAACGACTAAAAATTTGGGGAATCTCATAAATTATCCTTCAATAAAGTACACAAAATATTCATTTTAATAAAGTTTGTTTAAAAAAATTGTCATTCAATTATTACTATGACCCACAAGATTCAAATGAAAATAAAACATAAAATAGAAAAGGAGAGAAGAAAATCAAATGACCAGGCAGAAAAGTTGGTTTCTGGAACCTCATTTACTTCTGGGCTTTCTTTCTGGTTCTTGAACCTTTAAGAAGAATCAGAGAAGATCACATGAGTAATCATTAACTTACAGAAGCAAAGGATCAGAAATACAAATGTCTTCATGTCTGACTGACTGACATTGTGGAGATGAACAATACAGGAGGGCCTGACTGTGCAAACAGCCAGTTTACTTTCTAGCCCACCAGTAAAAACATACCCCAGTCTTTCTCCCCAAAATTTGTATTATAAAATTTGAAACAATGACTTCCAGTAAATTTCCGAGTTCACACTTCCTGAGGGCTGCCCTGAGGGCACACATGGCACAAAGAGCAAGAGGGGTTTTGTTTTCCTGTGTTCTTAGGCAGGAGGGCACCAGCCTTGCTAACAGGACAGGCCTCCCTGCTGGCACTCAGCTGACTGATCTAAGGCCCCCCCGGAACAGCTCCTGTCCACCTCACAAGGAAACTCTTGTCCTAGCCTGACCACACTGCCCAACACTGGCCTCGTGCTCTTTCCAGCCTCAAGATCTCTGGGCCAGAAACAACCAGCAGCACTGGAATGAGGGCATCCTGGTTGTCCACAGTTAATCAACCTTGGGAAAAGAACAGAATTTTCTTTGAATCTGAGACAAAATTTTTAATCCCACACAAGTAATTATAGTTTCTAAAGGTATTCTGATTATGGGCGGTTTTAGTTAACTTAGCTGGAATATCAGTTTTAAAATTTAGTTTTTTCAGTTGGTTTCTGTTCAACTGTGGTCAGCTCAAGTCACAGCAACCCTTAGACTCTGTGAGTATCACCCCACCATGCACAGCCTGTACACTGTGGCTGAATAGCATTCCACTGTGACACAGTGGCAGCTAGAGGGGCTCATGGAGCCCTGTCCCTCTCCGAGTATCTACAGGCAGCTAATAGTTGCTGGAGGGCTGATAAGGAGCCCTACTCCTATAAATAACTCTTTGCTCAGGACCCTGTAAGACCCTAATGGAACTCACTGGGTACTAGCTACCTGAGCAGGAGAGTGAACAAATGAAGATGTGGAAGTAGAGGAAGGACTAGCTAGGAAGAGGAGGGGATGTGTGGGAGTGTGCTGAGGATCAAGAGACCAAGAAGGATGAATAGAATCAAAATACATTCTTTGTAAGCAAGAGTACCACAACAAAACCATTAGCATGAATAAGTAACCTATGCTAATAAAAATGAGCTAAAAAAGACTGAACCATGATGAAATAAAAAGCTTTTGTGTTCAAAAATAAAAAATCCATGGTTTTTACTTCTAAATTTTTAAAGTTAAATTGACAAAGAAAAACAGAAATGCTGTAACTGTGAAGCTGTCTGACAGCCATCTCAAGATCAACACCCAACAGCTTGCTTTTGGTGAGCTCTGAGTACAAAGGCATATGGCAGACAGGTAACCGCCACACGTGATCAAGCAACTAATGTCCTAACTTGACACCTGACTCTTACGCTAAATATTGCTACCCAACCCTGCAGTCTAGACTTAGCACTTCTCACCCCCGCAATCTAGACTCATCACTGCTTAGCCCTGTGATCTACGCTTAGCATTTCTAGGTGCAATTCAGAATGCTGCTGCCTCCTGGAACCAAAACAGAATCAGAAGCAACCATCAACCAGGAGTCTCTGATGCACGAAAGTAGGGAGTATCTCAGCAGGGTTTTCTTAGAAACATCTGGTCCCTGTCCAGTCGGTATTTTCCCAGACAATCCTCAGGCCAGGCCCAGCCCTCAGAGCTTCACACCTAACTCACCACCAGAAGAGCAGTCTCCACTGTCCGGCAGGAGACAGTACACAAGCCATAAGTATCATGGTCATACCAACTAGTTCTGAAATATTGGCACACTTTAAAAATGCCAGAACATATATGGTTTTTATGGCTTATCATTTTATAAGGGGGGAAAATTACTTGCAGCAAATAACCAAATTTCTTCAACTGGTAAAAATTGTGCTTTGTATAAAAATAAAAGGATTAAAGGCCTCTGTTCTTCCTGGGCACCACCCGTCACCCTTTCTCTCACAGCCTGCACAATAACACACAGAAAGCTTTCAGAGTGTGTTCCCACACAATAGACCCCCAACTACTCAAAATGAGTTTAGGTGTATCAAGAAAATTACACATGGGTTTAAAATGGTCTAAATAGATATTAAAGGAAAGTTGCTCCCATTTTGCGAGGCACGGCATTGTGAAAGATCACACGGTGAGAACAGTCTCTTACCACATTGTACACCATAAACTGTGTTTGAAAATAAAATTCTTAATGAAGAAACTGACATTTCTAAAGCTGCCATTAAGGCAGCCATTCTTGAAACATGTTTATGACAAAAAAATCCTAAAGCCCCAAACCACAAATTCGTGGAATTTATCCTGCTCCTCAAAATATTACAAAACTTAAACACAGCAATGTGCCCTCTCCATCAAGTGACTAAACTGATGAATATAAATGTATACATTTACATAACCTTCGGCCTGCTTTTCCCCTAGAAGGAACAACATTTACCAATTACTTCAGGCAATGCTTCTCCCTGATGAACATTCTGACAGTAAAATAACTATCCTAGTACTTTAGGTAGAAAATAGCCTACAACAAGAAAACAAAAAAATCATTTAAGCAAATTCTGGGTATAGTGGTGCACTCCTTTAATTCCATCTATTGGGAGGCAGAGGCTAGTGGATCACTGTGAGTTCGAGGTTAGCCTGATCTACACAGAGGTACAGGCCTGCCAGGAATACATATTAAGACCATCTCAAAGGAGAAAAGAAAAATAAGCAAAGTAATTCTGAGTTCACATGAATGTAGAAGAAGCTAATTATTCTTCATCATCTTAAAAAGTTACAGGAGCCCAGTGGTGGTGGCACACGCCTTTAACTCCAGCACTTGGGAGGCAGAGGCAGGTGGATCTCTATGAGTCGGGTAGCCTGGTCAGCAGATAAGAGTTCCACAACAGCTAAGGCTATACAGAGAAACCCTGTCTCGAAGAACCGAAAAGGAAAAAAGTTTTAGCAAAGCTGTCTGAGTGGTCCTTACATTAGGAGTCAGAGCTGGTGACACTGTTTTAGCAGCACTGCCAGTTACAGTGGCTGCAATCTTATCCCAAAACTGCCAGGACTAACTCGGTCTTCACAGTTAAAAGGAGAGTTTTAAGTCACACCCGATCAAAATGAAGACCTCTGTGTTCATCAAGCAGCATGCAAGCTGCCAATGACGCACCGGCAGCTAAGAAAGCCTGACTGACTGCAGCACATGTGGGACCTGCCTGGACCGACTCCTGGCTTGGCCTACTACAGCACAGGCCTTGCATAAACTGTGATGACAAGGGCTGATTTAAAGCTGAAGGTGTGTTCAAAGGGAAGAATAGAACTGTCTTCATCAGTGCTACTTAGCTTGTTCCCACTCACTGTCAGAGCTGCTGCAGCTCGCCTCTGGCTGAGACATGCTTCCATGCATTGCTCCTTGGGACTCCTCACTTCCTAATAACAAAATGAACAAGACAGGGAAGGAGGCAATAAAAACAAACAGTAGCAAATGGGAGACGGCAGCATTAGAAGGAAATGAACTACTGCAAAGTGTTAGCCTCCAGAGTGAACTGACACACTCCTGGCAGCCCAGGAACTCTCTCTGGGTAAACGCTGATAAACCTAGCCATGTTAAATCCATAATATATATAGAGAAATGCTAACAAAATCAGGATAAAGGTGGCTGTCTTTCAAAACTTCCTTTCCAAGATGTACCAGGGCCACACTGTCAAAGGGAAGGTAAAATGCAGTGCTGGCCTAGGTCACCTAGGCATTTATGCTTATTGTGACATTTTTGCCTAAAGCAAGACTATTCATTAGAAATTAAGAAAAGCCCAAGGACCAACAAAATAACAAGCAAAACTCCGAGAAATAGGGGAAAAAAGTCTTTTAAGAAGCACTCCATCCAGGAAAGCACTGCGTGGGGGCAGCAACACGTCCTAAGCTGGCCTGTGCAGGTGCCGCCTTTGCTGACACCATTTCTAACTGTGGCTATCATTATAGGCAGGACCCTCAGCACCAGCCCCTAACTAAAAGTGACTTCAAATCTTAACTTCTGCATCAACTGCTTTAAACCTCACCTCCTAGAGGGCTGGAATGAGCTGCAGGGAAGCATTCTGAGGGGCATGCACCCTTCCCACACCCGCCCAAGTTAAGTGGCTCTGTGTGAGTGAAGGAAGCTGTAAACCTGAGAGCCAGTTCTGCTCTCTACCTCTCAAACCCGTCATGACTGCTGTGAAGAGCGACAGACAGCGCGTACAGAATACCTACACATACTCTACAGTTCAGTTTACCTACAAGATACTTTGTAATCGACTCGAAGAGCACGACTCACATGTTAGTCCATCATCCAGCGGGAGCAAGTGCACTTAGCTACAGAAGGAGGGAGAAGCCAGCCCCCCACTTACGAGTCTGTACAGCCTCTTCCACCCGTGAGTCTGACCACTCCATGTCTTCCACACTACACGCCGTGCTTTCCTCTGCTTCTTTCTTCCGCTTCTACATAGAAAGTTCAAAAGACAAGAGGGACAGATGTAGTCTGACACCCACAGCAGCATATACACATACATTAGCATATATGTAAATCTAAGTGTAGGAGTCTCAAACCTCCAGAAGAACCTAAGGGAAGAAACTGGAGTGTGAGGCCTCCAGCTACAGTCAGCCTGGGTGGGATCTTTTCATCTTCCACCTCTAACTTCTCATGCTTAAGTCCACCAATGAGTCACACTGATCTAGGAGGACTGATCAGGAAGAAACTCTTTCAGGACATGAAATGTTCACCAACTTGCTGCCACCTTCACAGGCCAATGACACTCATTCTTCTGTCAACGTGGTGAGGGTAAATACAGAGGCTACTGGGGTTTGGTCTGATGCTTTTGTGTTGATGCTCATTGCTGGCCCTCAAGATCTGGTTACTGTCCAGATGCATTTATCCCTGTTGTATAAACCTACCTAAGATATTATACCTGATTAGTTGATTAAACTGTCTGGGGAGGGCAGAATGGTGTAGACATGGCTAAGGTTCCCAGGCTTTGGATTCAAGAGATTCACAGGAGACAGAGGACAGGAAAAGGAGAAAGGAAGATGCCACGATGGGCGAGCTAGTATGGAGAAAAAACCACGTGGGCCAGGAGGAAGGACTCCAATAATGTGGTGTGAAAAGTCCCAAGTAAAGAATACAAGCAAGTATCTTGGGATAATGGATGGAAGGTAGCCCACACAGGAATGATGAAGGTGGATGGCTTCTGACGGGGACTGGGAGATGGTTGGTGAGGTTACTGAGACAGCATAGATAGAATATCTGCCCGGCCCAAGGTAATAAGGCAATTATAAAATCTAACCGGTGTCTGTGTCTTATTATTTGTGATAGTGAGTCAAATAAAACTGCCACAATAATTATAGGGCTAATGATAACAATATTTAGTCCAATACCATTTTTATTTACAACAACAAAGGCTGTGAGCCTGAGAAACAGAAAGACACACACCTCACCTCACACCTAGAATCTAAATCTGGTGGCAAATTCTGTTCATGAACCACTGTTTCTTTAGAATGCTTATTAAATATCTGAATGCCATAAACTTGATTTGAGCAACCTTACAAGTACAAAGGTCTCCTGGTATCTTGAAGGCATTCAGTTTATGTGCACTGGTCCTTCCATCATCCATGTTCCAAGCTGTGGCATCTGGAGAATGTGCTTGTACTCCACTGCCTTCCACTCTTCACAAACACACTACAAGTCTGAATTAACCCAATTCTGTGCTGAGCCATTCAATTAGTTAACATCTCTGTATAGGTGTATTTATAGAAGGATGTTGGCAATAAATATAAAACGTTTATATTGTTCATGTAGCCTTATCCTATGCAGGTCCAGATTTAAATGTATTGAGGTCTGAATTCCAATTCAAAGTTCCCTAAAGTATTCTGGATCATTTAAGAGGGCATTTGACATGTCCCAGACTCCACAGCACAATGCAACAGGATGTCCTCAGTTATACTGTCTAGCAATTAATATTAAGTTTGACTTCATCTGAGAGTGTTCCTTGCTGCAGGCCATTTTGTGTACAGCTGCAGAAGATAATATTTACTGACAGCACAGCATTCTTTTCCTAATGGCAACCACGGTTCCGCCCTAGATAATGAAGTGGACCTATGAAAGCTACTGTTTCATACCCAGTGCTACAAACCACTGTCAGTGTAGGACACTCAGTCCTACAGTTTCAAGGCATATGTAAGGTGGGTGCAGAAAGCTTTGAACTCAGAGAAACCTACCATGTACCTGGTGGAAAGGGCTCATGCACACAGAAATAACCCAATTAAACCTTAAAGAATTTCAACGAAGTTCACTTAGGAGATTTGTTTAAGACGGTCCTGCTTCTCAAACACAGCCATGAGAATGGTTCTACCTTCACATAGCTGATGAGGGAAGGGGAGAATGCTTTACATCTTTCTTTTCCAAAGTGTTGCTTCATGATTACCATCTAAACCCTGCTGGGTTGAACAGATTGGCTCGATAATTACATACAATAACTGCAGTGGGCAGGTAACCCTCAGCTGGCACGGGCAGCTCCCCTGTGAGAGCTTCCATATGCAAGTGCACTGATGAAGTGCGTTAGGTATGTCTTTCCTGCCGGTTCACAGGCCTGATTAACGGCAGCCAAGACTCCAAGGTTAGCATGTCAGCAGACTTGTGATGCATTAGGCAGGGATAAACACAGACACTTTTGTTCGTTCAGACCAAAATTAAGGAGGAATATTTCAGCTCTCTGCTGTGTTCCATATAGAACAGAAAGCAGTTTTCAGATTTTAGAGGGTAGTTTTTAACTGCTCATTATAAAGGGAGCTAGCCAGTATTTCCTAGCAAAGAGCCTAGCACATTCACTTTGTTTTGAAGCTTATTTAATAAAAATGAGCCTTCTTAATCACCATACAGGTGAATTACAAGGAATGAAAACCAGACAGCATTCAGCCAAAAAAAGGAACACCTGTGCACTAGGGAAAGCAGTGGGTCACATTCACCCACACGCCAGCCAAGTAGCTCCTACCCAACTTTTCTGACAGCATGTGCAGTTTGGGTAGAAAGGGTCCAGGGTCTAAGATCCCCAGTTAGCAAAATAAAACAAAGCCTGTTTTCAGTGTGTAAGGATGGCACTTGGTTTATACAGCAATACACAAAATCCCAAACAGCAAGCTGCTGAGCTTTCTTCTGAGCAATGTCTGTCAGAATCCTTAGGCTCCGGGTATGCGGATGTGAGTTCCCTTTGAAATGAAAAGCTTCCCAAGTGGTTGGACCAACCTCTGATTCTGTGACAGTCTATGTCATGTCTCACAGGTACCTTTACTTGCATTTATAAATGAAACCAAGATACTTTATGACATACACAAGCAACTTACAAAACACATGTGGAATAGAGTTTGCTTCTAATTCAACATAGAGAAAGTCTTGGAAAATGGGCTTATTTCAAAGAACATTAGTATATATACTACACATTATATTTTTAACATGTTCAAATATGCTAGGTTAAAACTTAATTAGCTGATTCTCACTTCCAATTTAGAAACAGGAAGAGAAATCAGCTGGATGCATTTGGACTGATAATTTACTAATAGTCTAAACACTGACTGGAGACCAATAAAGCTGCTTCAACAGAAAAGACAACAAAATTCTTCAGATGTAAAACCAGAGACCAATTCACTGGTCAAGTAAGCCCTAGGAGATTATGTCCAAAAGCATCTGAGAGCCTCTAAGAAACGCCAGCCACCCATGGCCATCGCTAACAAAGCAAGCAATGCTCTCGGGATGCCCTTCCCCTTACAGCAGGCATCGAACACGTTATTAAAATAATAATAATAATAATAATAATAATAATAATAATAATAATAATAATAAAGCCTAAAATCCCCAGGCTTGGTATTGAACAACCCAAAGATCTGCAGGCACAAACATGCACACGCCAGCTCATCTTAGTTGCTGGAGCGCAATAAAGTCACCATACAATGTGCACAATTTACAGACTACTAAAAGCAACTAGGTAACAATGGCATAAGGGATGACAAACATGGTGTACCATAGAACCCACAAACTTACTACATGGGGAAAAAAAAATGAAGGGAAGGACACAAGAAAGCCAAAGAGAATGTGATCCATGTTTCTCAGCTCAGGCAACGAAGAGGTTAAACCCAGAGCTCCTTATTCCCGCTGCAGTATTTGGCAGACGTGTGCATGGTGTGGGTTCTTACTGGAGCTCCTTTCACATCTCTCTTTATTTCCCTGTCACCTATGTTCTTCCAGGGTAGCAACTCAGTCTTGCTCTTTCCTAACCCTAGCTAAGCTTTTGCACATCACTGCACACGCCTAGATCTGCACACATTCGACTACTTCAACTTACCCAGGTCTGCCAAACTCTGTACTATTTGGGTGGAAACTAAATAATTAAGATACATTTGAGAAAACATCAAAAAGGATCATCTGTAATTAAAAGGAAAAATTAAAACATTAAGAATAGGCTAGGAAATGAACAAATGACTCTTTAAAAAGGGACAGATGATTTGAAACCTTATCCAACACTGCTGGAAAGCATTAAAATGTTCATTGCTTGTAGTAAGGCCATGATGAAGACTAGTAAGAGCAAGAAGCACTGTGAAATATTTTCCCAGAGCGCCATCCTCTATACTCAAATGAAAAAAGCATTTACTGTATGGCTGGCACGGTGACTAGCTTCTTCTGAACATTATAAAACAAATAAAATAGACTAAAAGAGCCTGGCACGGTGGGCATACACCTTTAATTTCAGCATTCAGAAAGGTGAAGCAGGCAGATCTCTGTGTATTGGAGGCCAGCCTAGTCTACATAATAAGTTCCAGGAGAACAGGAACTATATATACAGTGAGACTCTGTCTTACAAAGAAAAAAAGAGGGGGAGGGGTAAAAGGACTGCAGCTTTTATGAAAGCATTAAACATACATGTTCAGTCTTTCCTGTTGGCTTTTCCATATGCTGTGTGTATGAAATTCATAAATGAATGTTCGATGTAATCCTGCTTACATGGGATTTCATTCTATAAAGTATCCATTCTTAAGCAGGTAAAACACAGACATAGCTTGATGGTCAACTCTCAATTTTCTAGTTATTTCTTTACATTTAGGTCTTTCTCCTATTAACAGTTTAACCTGTTCTAGGGTTAGGAAGAAGAAATTCAACTCAGGTAGTTCAACAGTCAATAGGTAGACTATTAACAAGTCTGGAAAGGGAGTTTAGAAAGAGAAAATGTTTAAACAGTATCCTCTCCGAGTTCAAATGCTATTGAAGTGGTAACCTAACTAAGCACCCAAAAGGGGTGGACCAGAGATCACTACCAACCCATGTAGCGTGCAGAAAGTGCTGATTTACCTGTGCTCTGCATCACAGACCATCATCTCTACCACCTACCTGCTTACTCTGGAGCATGTTTGTGTCCCCTTTGGCTCAGCCTCTTGAGGACACACAGAAAGAGCTGTCTAGAAGCCCTCCTGATATTTAGGAAAAAATAGTTAATGAACAGGTGAGCAGAAACACCTGCCAGAGCCTATAGCACACAAGTAAAGCAGCAGCTTAGATGCCCCAACCTCACAGCTGAGGACAACATAGATGAGCACTGCAGCAAGGGTTCTCCAGGACTCCTGCTTCAGCACAACCTTCATTGTCACTTACACGCAAGATGGCTCTAGAGAGTCAATGAACTCTGGAAACTAACGTCTCTGAATTCTCTATCACACTGGAATTAATGTGATGTTTTTTCATTCATGTTTTCCTCTAAGGACACTATCACTTATAACATTAACATCAAAAACTTAAGATGTTTTATGGACAATTCATGGGAAAAGGCAAAATCAAGCAGCTAGTTATGCCTTAATTATCTATAATATTTTATAACTAAAATCACTAGATTTTTTAAGTGCCCTGAGCTTCTCTGAGGAAAATTACAGTACAGCTATGTAATGGTTGCATGACCCTAGGCAACTCAGTTTGCCTTTTTTTTTTTTTTTGAGACCCCCCGCACACACACACACTTTTAGTATTTGTGGAGATGGGTGTGTGTGCATATGAGACCAGAGAACATGTGGAGGCCAGAAAACAACTATGTAGGGCTGGGACTCTCCTTCCACCATTCCATGGATTCTGGAGCTCAAGTTCTGGTCTTTGGACTTTCAAGGCAGTGGAAAGAAACCTTCACCTCAGGGCTGGAAGCCCCATCTCTTTAAGCTGTAACGGAGGTCTTGTGTGGATGCTACAATGTCTGTATGAAAGTAGAAGGAAGGTGGTTCTGAGGTGACAGTGACAGCCTGATGCTTAAAGAGTTACTACCAGCCTCAAGTCTTCTGCATGCTCAAGAAGGAAAACTATGAGACACCCACTGCAGATGTGACACACAGTCACACTATAGTTGTCTGTCGCCATGAAGATCAGTAAAAACCAAACCCTTCCCTTCCATATGGTGGTAGGAACTACCTCAGGCCTTGTGAGGGAGGACAAGCTCCTTACAAAACAAATAAGCCACTTCAGAATTACTACTAAAAATCAGACTGCCTAATGTTTGAACCACAAAACCCCTATTCATGAAACATAACACCAGACATGGAAGCCGGAAGTCCTTCGCTTTCTGTCAACCTCTTATCCATATCAGTCAACAGCTTCAAAGGAAAACACATCACAAAGTCATTACTGTAATGCACGTGTTTTTACTATACATTATGGAGCCATACATTGGAGTCTTTATTTCATACCAATTATCATCTTGTCTTTTGCTGCAAATCAACTTTTAGCAAGCCAGGACCATCTAAAATCTATCACACATACATTCATCAAGTAAAATCAAACCAGACTTCGTCCTTATCTGTCTAATACCCTAAAACTGAACTGAACTTTAAGGCTGGACCTCAACTATAAAGATGATGGCAAGAGATTCAAATGAAAATATGGTTGTTTTCTTGAATCAAGAAAGCGGAAAAGTTAATCAGCACTCATACAGGTCTTATCCACTGATGCTTGCATATGCTGGCCACAGCTCTGAGCTCCCATGCTTTCTTTTTGCTTTTCTTTTTATCCCTTGTCACAGCTTATAAACAAGAAAATTATGCATTATTATTTCCACAGAAAATTCGTTTTTAAATTCATCCCTTACTAAAAATACAAAGGCATGTGTGCTTAGCACTCCCTAAAACTTGGCTACCGTTAGAGAAAACTCAATTACCTAACTTTGAGGACATCTGATAAGATAGATGCCCTTTTGTTGCTTCAACAGATCAATTCTTTCAAAAGCTCAAGGCACTGACACTGTACAAAATGGTCTCCTGTATCATACAGCCAGAAGCACATGTACACAAATATCAAAACGGGGCATGTTTGCCCTATGCTACATACAGAAACTGGTTGTAGAGCTGAAGAATCTACTTAAAGCCCCAAATGCCCAGTATCAGATATGCTTATTTACAAAGAGGCTATTATCTGCATAGATCTTAGAATTCAGATATCAACTTTTGATTCATGGTACTTCTCAACTGCATTTGCATGATGGAAGCATCTAGGAAGCCTTTATGCATCCCTGAGGTCTGGGTCCCGCCACCATAGTTAAACACTGGTTTACCTGGTGTTGAGAAGTACAGTCCAGGAGTGGAAAGCGTCAGAGATCCAGGTGATCTAACATGAAGACCAGGGCAGTCTTACAAGATCTGTATTATGTGGCCTGAGGTATTCATAATAAAGGGACCTCCAGACTAGACAGAAGAAGTGAAGAAGACAGGAGTCCTGATACCAGAAATCCCCATGTGGCCACCAACCTCTCTCATTCTCTCACATCATTGGTCACAGGCACTATAAGGAAAACATTAAACAGGCAAACGGGTACTCCAACTGGGGTGAGGAACAAAATCTAAGGAAAATTACAGAATCAAAAAGAAAGACACTAACTTCAAACAGGACATAGACATCCCATGCTCAGAGTCATTATACAATAGCAAAGCCTATCCACAAAGAGATATAAGAGGCTACCACAACAGTAAAACAATAATAAACTCCCTGTTTTCAGTCAGGCACAGGCAGAAAAGAGGCTCCTGGGTCCTTACCCATCCCTGCTGGCTACCAGCAAAGTCTGGGAGAAGAGGAGTCACTGTCCTCAGTTGTGCACCAACTGGGGACCCCACCAGGCTCTAACAAATAGCTCCAAACCTATGGTCACACAGACTGTTCTGGTTAAACTCAGTGGGTCACAAAACAAATGAGATGAATGTGAGAGAGATTCACCTGGAAGGAATGAAGTAGATAGACAGGTAGGACAGGGTGGGTGAGAGGGGTCAACATGCACTCTGTACAAGATACCAAAAACACTTAAAATTCATGAGAAAGGAAAAGTGACACACACCAAAACACATCACCAATCCCCTAGAATGTCACTGAGATAAGTGAGCTAGAAGTGCACAGATCAGTTTCATGACTAGAAGAAAATGTCCAAGAGTTAGATGTGAAAAAGAAAAGCCAGATTTCATCTCTCCCAGATATCAACAAAGATTGTGAAGGGAGATGAAAAAGGAAGCATCAGCATGCTCATAAAGAATAATTTTTCAAGTTCCAAGATGGATGTTATATCTTTAGACAAGCATTCATCAAGTAACAAGCATACACGAAGTTTAAACTAACAACACTTTCTCTCTCTCTCTCTCATGCACACATACACACACACACACACACACACACACACACACACACACATATTCTGTGGTGAAAAATGGGATGCTGGGATAGAATGAAAAGCAAGAGGCCTCAAATGTAAGGGGGAAAAACAGAAATCTAGTGACAAACAAAATTACCCAAACTGGAAGCTGAGGGCCAACATAGCAGTGTCTTTGACCAAATTACTCGTTCGGTAGAGCAAATAGCACCATTTTTGGAACTATGAGTTCATAAAGTTTACCATTTATAGCTCTCTTCCAAAAAAAACTGAGCACATACTCTAAAAAAAGGAATCCAAGAGAAAGGACCCAGTAACAATAAAATAAAATAAAAAAAAAATAGTAACAGAAATACAAGACTCTACAGCACTAAGGCCACCTGCACTCTTAACAACTTGAGAGATGGACTATGGGAGGGAGACATTCCTCTCGTGGAGGAATGGATACAGATTCTAGTTACCTCTAAAAGTTCACACACAAACAAGTTAAAATGTGTTAGAAAATAAGGGTGGGACATTTGGGAGATAAAAACTCACAGATTCTTTCTGTCTAAAACCTGAAGAAATGATCCCAAAATAACCATTTAGAAACACTTCTGCAACCAGCACAAGTGGCACCCCTTCACAAACAGCCACTGATCAGGAAAAAATGGAAGCACATTCAGGAAGTGAGTGAGCTCCTATTCACCACTGAGCCACACTAGGCAACACGTTTCTAAAAACCTTCACCAGTAAGCCCAAGTCAAAAGAAAAGAACATCGTGGTAGCTCACACCATTAATCCCAGCACTCAGGAGGCAGTTAGGACAATCTCTGAGTTCACGAGGCCAGTCTGGTCTACAGCATGAATCTGAGGACAGCCAGGGCTACAGAGAAACCCTGTCTCCAAAAACAGGAAGGAAGGAAGGAAGGAAGGAAGGAAGGAAGGAAGGGAGGGA